GCTGGTGGCCGGCGGAACGGGGGCCACCACCCCGCCGCTTAGAAAGTCAGGCGATTAGGACGTTGCGTCGCGCGGTGCGTGTGTCTGCGGATCGACACCCACCACCCTTAGAAAGTTAGGTCAGGGTCGCTCGTGGTGGTTTTAGTCGGTAGGCTGTGGGCGCGCGATGCCACGCTGAGGGAGGCTCAGGGGATTTCGGTCCTCTGAAGCGCCCCTCGTAACGGTGGTACGCGTGCGCGTAGAATCCGACACTCTCCCTCCTTTCCTCAGGGCGGGGGAGTCTTTCGAAGATTTCCACCACGTTAAAAAAAAAAAAAAAAAAGGTAGAGAATAATTTTTAATTCCTTTTAGCAATTACATTTCTATTAAGCGAGAAAGGTCAAGAAACATTTCGACTATTTTGCAACAATGTCGTAAAATTATTTCAATATGGCCGAAATGGCTTCTTAATTTTTCTTAATATATTTTTTACGTAAGCCATTTAACAAAATTGTGTGTTCACGATCATTATTTAAAATTATTTGTTCTTATAACGCACCAATTTTAGCCTAAGCTTTCACAGTCTATTCATATATGTATTGATAACTGGTTTTTATACTATAGTTAAAGCGATATGACGTGAGATCTAATAAATGATGTTTTGCAAAATAGATAATTTTTTGTAAAAATTATTTTCAACTTGATTACTTAATTTTGCGTTAATTTAAATACTTGATTTTTAAATAGTAGTATAATTATCGTAATAAGATGTAACTATCAAAAATCAAATTGTTTGCTCGAGTGCATAAAGTGTTCACATTAGCTCCATATTGTGCAGGAACTTGATTATCTCTTTCGGATATCACGTCATTAATTCCTTATTTTTCATTTTTTTGAGGTGAGACTCGATATATGCGAAACGATATCGAAAAAAAATGGGCCTTAGATTTTTTCAGTTTGCGTTAGTCAATATTGTTATTCATTTTACATTTTGCATTTTTATTTATGTCCTGCATGCTTATATCAGATTTAAATTAAAGTTGCTATTATTCGTAAAATGTAGTCGAATTTATTCGGATTACATTCGCGGTTGATTAAAATGGGTTTTTTTCCAATTTAACAGCTCTTAACTAATTAAAATCTTTTTTGTTCTTAATCGAGAAAATGATCACTTGCGTAAATTATAGTTTGTACGATATTAAGTAGATTTTAAAAGCTAGTAATTTTAAAATTACTTAATTTAATTTTGTTACAAATGGTCCTTCGCGACGCGGTCGTGTTTCGCGCATCGTGGGAAAAAGCGTAAAATCATTATGCTCATTTGCCGTTTATGATTAGGCGGCAACAGAAGGTGTATTTCTTCTTCTTGTTTCTGGTTTTGCCAGCATGGATTTGGCCATGAAATGGTATGGTCAAACTGGTCAAAGGAGAGAAGATCTACACAAGGTAGGTTGGTGTTGAACACCACCA